CTCCAATTCAAAAAAAAAAAAAAAGGGGGTTTCTTTCTGGCCTAATCCATATGACACCCCCTCCCTATTCACTGGCCCCTACTCTGCATGCTACCAAGGCCCCTTTCAACCCATCCACTCCCATCCAAGCCCCATTTTAACCCCTTTTCCTCATCTTAGCCCAAGAAGAAGCTGAATGCTCCCTTTGACCCGGCCACATCCAAGATCGTGCCTTTTGACCTTCTGCCTGAGACTGAGGCCTTTGACCTGAAGCCTGGGACAGTGCCTGAGCTCCCACCCTTTGACCGGATGCCTCGGGCACTGCCCTATTACCCAGAGCCTGGGCCTCTGCCCACCCCAGAGGAGTCGACAGCCGGTGGGAGTGTTTAGGCTCTCCTGCGTCCTGTGGGGCTGTGGTGAGGGGTGTCACTCCGTCCACCATCAGCCCCCTGCCTGGTGTGGTCAGTGCCATCCCAAGCTACAGCCCCCTGCGGTTGGGTGATGGGCATTGTGAGAACACTTGCACTGTGCAGAGTTCAGGGAATGTGGTGTATGCAGTGGGGACGAAAAGAAGCCTCCTTCCTGGTTTCTGTTTCAGCAGTAGACCCTCCCAGCACCACACTTGCTGCACCCAAAGGTTGCACTGCATGAAACGCGCATGGCTTCTGAGTCTTCCCTTCCCAATCCCGCTTGGCCCAAAGCCTCTCTGGAGATGGACCTCAGCAGGGCCAGGCCTGGGGTCTGTTCCTTGTCCTCTCACTCCCTCCTAGTAGCTGAGGAAAATATTTGCTCTTGTTTTTTCCAGTTTTTTTTTTTTTTTTTCCCCAGAAAATATTTTGCAAAGAGATGCCTTCTGTTTGCCAGATCCTGCCAGGGGTGGGGCATCCAAAAGCTGCCAGCTCAGAAAGGCCAGGCATGGGGATGGTTCAGCTGGCCCTGGCTTGAGTCCTCTGGCTGCCCTGCAGCACAGTGGAATCAACACCCTCCAAAGCCCTCTGAGATATCTTAACTGAATTGTTCACCTCCCCCATGAAGTTCCAATACAATAGATACACAGTAGACACTGTCGAGAATGCATGTTCTGGAAGGGATGGACCCTTCTGCTTTCAGTGCCTCTCATCTCCTTGTCTTGGCAGCCTGGGGTGGAGGTCCTGAGTTTTTAAGGATTTCTCTCTCCTTCACCTCTCCATCTTTCTGCACCCTCATGTAACGTACTCTCTAAGCAGATCCGGAATTACCTCGTCAGTGTCTTCTCTGGCCATTTCCCGGCCGAAACTGGAGGTAGAGTTGCTTTATTCTAAGTCAAGAGAAGCTCCTCCCCAGACCCATGTGGCACCATCCCTTCTCCCTAACAAATGTGAGAGTCTGGCATGGTGGTTCATGCCTGTAATTGTAGCACTTTGGGAGGCCAAGGCAAGAGGATGGCTTGAGCCCAGGAGTTTGAGATCAGCCTGGGCCGCATAGCGAGACCTCATCTCTATTTCAAAATAAATATGTAGGCTGGGCTCGGTGGCTCAGCCTGTAATCCCGTGCTTTGGGAGGCCGAGGTGAGTGAATTGCCTGAGCCCGCGGGGTTGAGACCCGCCTAGGCAACTTGGTGAGACC